ACTATATAGCATCTCAAGCCGAAGGAACTCAACTCTCACAGACGCTGTGCCCGCGGAGAAAGAACAGAGCCAGCTAACTTGTGTTTGCCCTGCTGCCACATCTCCCAAAAGGCAGGCACCTGGGGAATAGCATCGGCCAGTTTCCGAAGGCCAGTGAACCCCCGACGAGCATGGGCCGACGGGACCCCTGCATCCGGTTGATTCAACGAATTATTGAACACCTCCAGCGACATGGGACCCTTGTACCCTGTCGCAATCACAGCAGCAGCGACCAAATCGACAGGCATATACCCTCCTCGCTGGGATTCATACGGAAACAGCCGGTGGCCCCTTGACCAGGGCAGCAAAGTCGGCACGTCCGGATCGGTTGGTGGTCGGAATATCTTTGGGTCCATACGCTCAGCGTCACCGACCTGGAAGAAAAAGATACGGTCCCCGGGAACAGACGCGACCAGCCCGGCCATAGATGCGCAAAGTACATCGACCGATTCCTCAGGCGTAGAATACAGCCGTCCATGACCGGCCGGGTTATACGGATCGGCATACTCGACTGCGAGAACATTAAATGCGTCAATTATAAGCCCGACATTAAGGCGGTTCGCCATCCGGACTGCCTCCCACGTAGACGCCCATGTATTTCTTGTCGCCCACGAGAGGCCCTCATAGCCAATACGCAGCATCGGCCCCCCATCTGCTTCGGCGAAGGCCTGAGCCATGTCTCCCAACTCTGCCAAGTCCCGGGCCACCGTCTTCAAATCGGAGGTCACGCCATCGTCCGTCCGGATACTGGCACACATGAATACCAGGTCGGTATCGAATGCGCGCATGAATGGGAACCGTTTCGCGACCAAGTCTAGGGATGCGCGTCGCTCGACCGGGTCCTTGATCCCCTCGATCTTTCGGAGTGGCTGTGTGCACGCGATCCGCATTCCCAGGGACTTTACCAGATCACCTAGTTTCCGCGCAACCCGTAGGTTCTCTTCCGTTGGCTCCCATAGTTGGTCCCCTGGTAAACCATGTTCTTCAAGATAGGCAGCCCAGCATTCGTCGAATAAGTCGATCCATTTGTATCCCGCTTTCGCCGCTTCTTCTAGTCGGGGCTGCAGTTCATGCTGTCTCCAGTTGCCGAGGGAGAGGGTGGCGATGCCAAATTCATTGGGAATAGATGCGGGTGGCCAGTCGATTGGCATGATGAGTTTACTTATTTTGATGCGGTGTAAACAGTGCTGGATCGGCGCTTGCAATTGAAATATATAGGATGGTGGAGTGAGTCAGGGATTGTCCAGAGATGGGGGATATTCTCCCCACGGGGTTGGACGGGTAAGCGTTGCGGGGATGAACGCTTTTCCCCGGGGATAAACCTTTCACATTTAGACTTTTATTATATGACTCTGGGCGGGGATGAGGTTTTATTTCTCCTGTATATGTTTCTTGCTCTCCGGAGCATAAAATAAGTCGCCGGATGGACCGGTCTGGGTGGGGCGGAATGACGGCATCTGCCGTCGTTCAACCATGAATTCAACATTCATTCATTACATCTGCGTCTTCTGCAGCCAGAGAAATTACAACCAGCACTGCAGTGCCGGCCATTGCCTGCGGATAGACCTTTTGTTCTACGCATGCGAAGATATATGGCACAGAGCGACATGCTTGAGAGGACTGGGAGAAAAGGCGCGTTTTGACGGGGAAAGAAAGCCAGGCAAGAACATGTTAAGGAAGAATGGAAGCCCACAAGTGGAAAGCAAGAAAGCAAGAAAGAATCAAGACAACAAGGAGAAAAAAGTGGGATAACGCATAATTCTCTCAATCCAGATACCGAGAGGAATCCAGTGCATTAACTGACAAGATCGCCGCATCCCATTATGCAACGAACAGCACACCATCTTGATTCTTGGTTCGACGACACCCAGAACCTACGGACAAAATCAAACATTGGTCACTGAAATTGCCTAAATGGCTAAATGATGAAGCTCTTCTCGTCAATGGCTCAGTGGTGATTAGGTGGAAACAGCCAAGGCTCTCGCTCAACGATATTCCAAAAATTAACCAATCTGACGGCAATGGAGTTATGGATGGGCCCATTCCATGCGGCCGTTCCGGTCGTTCCATAAAACAAGCAAGCGTCTGTGCTCGCCAGCAAAGCAAAGGCAGCGATTGCAGGGTCCTACCCGAACTAGATCGCAACCTACATGACGCCATGTGGACCTGATCGACCAGCGAAGCAAATCGGAATGAATATCTCCGAAGAACAGACGTCAGAGTCCCCTCAGTCTCCTCATTCACTCCACATTCGGTCTCCGTTGGGGGTTTGCGGCACTCTCCTCAGAGCCGTTTCAGGCCTGGATTTGCCAATCATCATATACACCAACTCTCGCATCCGATAGATGCATAGGCCGGCCGGACAAGCACGGCAAGCCATGATGTCATACGCCTTGGGGATCATTTTATTCAGGCTATTTGAACGGATAAAACACATATCAAAATGATTTAAGGCTGGAGGGAATACTAGCTAAGGCTTCAATCTCAAGGCCGTTGAGCAAAATGTATCGCTGGTTGGTGGCCCTAACGGCCTGCGCCGCACGGCTGGTGCAGGCGACCCCAATCCAGACGCGGGAATCTGATTACTTCCTGCCCAACTCTACTGGATTTCGCATGCAGCATGGCTTTGAGACTATTATGGTGCAGCCCTTTGGCTACGATGGGTTCCGTGTGCGCGCTTGGCCCTTCCGGCCTCCTACGGGCCATGAGATCAGCTTCATCTACGATCCACCACTGGAAGGCTTTGAGGATGGACAGGCACATGGGTTGAACTATAGCACGGCATTCAATGGTAACCACACCGTTGCCATTCGCAATGGAAACACTATTGTGCGAACGTCTGGTTGGGGTGGAAACCCCGGAGGATATCGGCTGGCATTCTATCGCATCGAGCAAGATGGTTCTGAGACCCTGTTGACAAACGAGTATGCGCCACTCAAATCGGTCAACCCCCGTTACTACTCTTGGAACGGTCCAGGAAGCGAATTCTCTGCCGAGTTCTCATTCAGTACAACACCCGACGAGCAGTTCTATGGCACGGGCACACAACAGGACCATCTTGTCAACAAAAAAGGAACGGTCATTGACTTGATCAACTTCAACACTCACATCCCGACACCCGTGTTCATGAGCAACAAGGGCTATGCGTTTGTCTGGAATATGCCAGCCCAGGGTCGCATGGAATTCGGACAACTACGCACCAAACTCACCGCAGCCTCCACCACAGTCGTCGATTATGTGATCGTAGCCACGACGCCAAGCGACTACGACACACTCCAGAGACGTTTATCCGCCTTGACAGGTAGAGCACCTACTCCTCCTGACTTCTCGCTCGGATACATCCAGTCTAAGCTCCGCTATGAGAACCAGACGGAACTAGAGCTCCTGGCACAGAAGTTCAAAGACAACGACGTGCCTGTCGGAATGTTCGTCATCGATTACCAGTCCTGGCGGAATCAGGGCGACTGGGGTCTCGATCCAGCGCTATGGTCAGACGTAGCAGCAATGGCCAAGAAAGTAAAAGATCTCACGGGAGCAGAGATCATGGCATCTCTCTGGCCCAGTGTATCCGACGCTAGCGACAATTACTTAGAGCTGCAAGCCAACGGATACTTGTCTGCAACTCGCGACGGCCCCGGAACCACCGATTCATGGAATGGCTCATACATCCGCAATGTCGACTCTACGAACCCAGGCGCCAGAAAACTTATCTGGTCAACCTTGAAGCGAAATTACTATGACAAGGGTATCAAAAACTTCTGGATCGACCAAGCTGATGGTGGTGCCCTGGGCGAAGCCTACGAAAACAACGGTCAAAGCACCTACATCCAGTCTGTCCCATTCGCCCTGCCCAACGTCCTCTACGCGGTTGGTACCCAGCAGAGCGCAGGGAAATATTACCCGTGGGCCCACCAGCTGGCAATCGATGAAGGCTTCCGCAACGTCACCGACAGCAAGGAAGGCGAAGCCTGTGAGCACATCTCGCTCAGTCGGTCCGGCTATATCGGGTCTCAACGATTCTGTAGTATGATCTGGTCAGGAGATGTCACGTCCGTCTGGGAGACACTGGGTCTTCAAATCGCCAGTGGACTGTCCGCCGCCGCGACAGGCTGGGGCTGGTGGACGATGGACGCCGGCGGCTTCCAGCCCGACCCGACAGTATCATGGAGCGCTAACATCGACACGCCGGAGTATCGCGAGTTGTACGTGCGTTGGCTGCAGTGGGCTACGTTTGTTCCCTTCATGCGCACTCACGGTCAACGAGTCTGCGACACACAGGATGCATACACGTGTAACAACGAGCCGTGGTCGTACGGAGAGAAGAACACCCCGATTATCCTCTCGTACATCCACCTCCGGTACCAGCTGGGCTCGTATTTGCGCGCTCTTTTCGACCAGTTCCACAAGACTGGCCGCATGATTATGCGTCCCTTGTACATGGATTTCGAGAAGACTGATCCAAAGGTCTCGCAGTGGACGCAAGCGAACAACAATGTGACAACGCAGCAGTATATGTTCGGCCCGAGATTGCTTGTGTCACCTATTACCACGCCGAATGTCACCGAATGGTCGGTATATCTTCCGCAGACGGGCCAGAACGGTACCAAGCCTTGGACGTACTGGTGGACTAATCAGACCTATGCTGGTGGTCAGACGGTTACTGTGCCCGCACCGGTGGAACATATTCCTGTATTCCATCTTGGGGAGAGGGAGGATATTCTTAGTGGTAAGGTCTTCTAAGGAATGGTATGTCTATATGACGGGAATACGTGTGAGGATAAATATGATTATGCCGGAGGGTTTAAACCGCATACGCATCTCCAAACATACACTCTCAATTATAACACTACGAAGTCAACCCGAAAACTAAGTTTAATGCACTATCTGTCACTACTCAAATGCACAATCCATAGCCAGCAGCTTCCTAGTCCCTATGCTAAAATCGCATATCATCTACATTCTCACGACCTTGGTGCAGCAGTCGGCGTCGGCGTCGGCGCAGCGACCATGCCTTCTGGAACTGCATCCACGTCAATCGACGTGTCCTCCGACTCACCCGTAGGAGTAGGAGCCACAGCGGTCCCATCAACAATAGGCACCATCGTAACAGCCGGGACAAGCCATCTCCGGTCACACTTCTCCCAGTGGGAATCAATCTCAGCCGCCTCTGCCGGCACCTCAATGTACGGCAGGTAATCATCACGAACCATCGTACAGGAGGGATCATAGAGGGGGCACTGCGAGCCACCGCGATACTGAGGCCAGGGGATCAGCGACTGCGTGTAATTGCCGATAGTCTGGGGGAGGAACTCGGCAAAATTAAACGGATATGGCGTCCCCTCGCTCGGGTACCGAGCGTTGCGGTGGTCCCGGAGCGATGTGACGGCAGTGGGATGGACGGAGATCAGCTGGTTGGAATAGCGTTCACCACATATGTGACCGTTGCGACGGTTACTCCAGGCGTTGATCGACGTGAAGGAGATATATATGCTGGGTGAGACGAGGGTGTGATCATCCAGGATGGCGGTGTTAGGGCCATTGCCGGTTGGCGTAGCGGGGATGGTTGTCCCGTTTTGGGCGCACAGGTCTCCGTTGGCCGTTGTCACGGGCCAGTAGAACATTGTCGCTGTGCCTGGGATGAAATGGCATGACGAGCAAGGGTCCTCCTCAGGGCGATCTCGAGCGGTGTTGGGACAGTGCACGGGCTGCAGGGGGCTCCTTGTGTCGCCTGGAATCGGGGATGTGACTGATGCTTTGTATTCGCTGGAGAGGCTGCTATATGTTTGCCAGACCCCGATGCATCCTTCTAACTCCGGTCTGCATGTTGGGGATGCCGAGGCTCTCGGTAGACTGGCGTGACTGTGCTGCTGGACACACTGAACGTGCTGCATGGTCCAGTCCCAGGGAAGTATTCTGTTGCGATTTCTCGTGGTCCGAGAGCCCGGGCAACCCCATCGCATAGGGTTGTCACTGGGCCAGTATGAATATCCGAGTATCTTTCGGCGGTAACGCTCGATCTGCAGGCCCCAGTGCTGGTGGGAGTGTATAATGTCGTCGTTGTGGTCTTGGTCGGGCCAAGGCTAGAGAGCCCACTTGACCGCTTATCGTATTGCATCCATTGTGCTGCGCAGATCACATCGGATGCACCGGGTCCAGTGGTTGGACCGTAAAGGTAGTCCGTGGATGTCGGCCAGAAGACGCTGGTGTTCGAGATGACAAGCCACTGGCTGCTGGTGTAGCATGTCGGTTCAGACGGGGGAGTTGATAGGGTGCCCGGCACAGACGAACGTACTGGAGAGCTGATCGATCCAGATGGAGTGTCGCGGGGAATCACTATACTGTCAATTAGTCCCATCATTGAGACTCGTTGAAAGATGTTCCGCCATACCAGCATTCCCAAACGCCACTCCCAGCAAAGATAGGACAAGTATCTCGAGGATCATTTTGACCTTGTTGCTATGGAAAAGGTTGACAAGGCTACAATCCGCATTGAAGTTGAGAATTGGGTGAGTAGAATTTATATCCATCAATCTGGCTCCAGTGCACCTCGAATCCTTCCCCGCGACGGCTAGACCTGTCTAAAATCTGACTTCAGGAACAGAGCAAATCCCCTCGAAGTCCCGGACCTAAAATCCTGCAGCGTGGTGTAGCTACTATCGCCATTGGCCCGGATTCAGCTGCAAATTCGGACCATGCGGTGTGTTGCGAAAGGTGGGATCTGGTAGGCTGGAATGGATCGTCTGATGCATGAAAATGCTACAGTGGAGAATTACATCCCCTAGTCGCTCGTATTCTGTAGAATCTTATTTGCTGACTGCATGGGTAGGTCGAGATGTGGAGCATACTCTTGTACCCTTTGTATGCCATGTCCACTTTGTATGGGGCTGTGTTTGGATTGCCGAAGAGAAGAGAGATGCCCATCACATCTCGCATAGCATTACTATACCAGCAGCCTTTGAGAAGTGGCTCAAACCCGAATAATATGACTAAATACGCGTGGAGGGCTGTTGTAAAGCTCATGATCGTGACTGCAGTAATGGGATGTAACGCTGGCTGCAGCCATTGTCAGTCAGAACGCCACTTAACGGCTGAATATGCGCATTCATGACCGACCAAAATCTGACATCTGCAAGACAGTTCATTATATAATAGTAGGTCTAGAATTAGGCAGCTTTCCTTCACATGTTATTGATTGAGGATTTGTCCAGCGTGCTTGCAGTCGTTTCTAGAGAGGGTCTGCTGCTGGAAGTGGTAAATGGCTAGGCCAAAATGTAAATAATATAGATAGACAAGACTCAATGATCTGCTTGAGGCAATGCCCATATCAACGGCGAAGTATAAATTCATATGTGAATGTATATTATGAATGGTATATCTTATGCTCTACTCCCATATTAGCATGTAAGCAATCAAGACTATCGCATGAAGGTCAGCTTATTACTGAAAGATGTAAACCAAGCGTTTTTCAATTATGTCGCCTTGACTTCTCTAGACCTGTTCACATCACAGTTCAAGTTTTTCAACACTTCAAGGCTGACCGGTTCCACAAGGAGCTATGTGCTAATCCAACTGTGAACGCCTACTTAAAAAGGCGAGAGGCCTTTTATCTATAGATCCTCTCTCGCATGAAACCTCTAAGCTCTACCAAAGAGGACCTTGGCGGGTCACTACGCAGTGCATTCTTTTAATATTGTCACAGACTCTTGTATCAGGTAGAGTTCATACATATTAGATACGGTGGATGGCAATCAACTGCTACACAAGATTGCAAGCAGTCGTCCAGATTCAAGCTAGTTGTGGACCACCACAGTATGCACAGGGCAGGTAGAATCGATATTAAGATTAGCCTAAAGTATTCCTGGCTTACGACAGCAGCTATGTATCAATACCACACAGCACTTGCTTCGAGTCACTATCGAAACGAAAGAACAAAGACAAACTTTTCTCGAGTGAAACAGCCCCAACCTCTTATTTGTGGCGACCAAAAACACTACCCTCATGATGTCCAGCCCTTATATTAGGTCCAAAAGCTGATGAGATCTCATGAGGATGTACCTTGACGTTGGATGACATACTGGATCTTGCAATCGAAGAAATGGTTCCCGGAAAGCCATTAGTATCAACTCTTTAAGTTCCACTCTCAATCATACAATAGGCCACTAACGAGGAGGCAAACATAAGTAGGCCTCATGCCACCTATCCCCTTCGTGCTATCTCATAGCGCATGAAGTCTATCGTTCTGGTCCAATCAATTCCCTCGAGTACCCAATAGGAAGCAGACCGAGCAGCAGTCACGGAGGTGATATCCCAGCTTCTCATATAGTGTACAGGCTATGATGATACTTTGCTCGATGAGGGATTAGGCAATGCTGACATCATTTGTCGCATTCGAATACTTCCTTGGGGTGTGGGATCGCTTAAGCATTATAATTGCTACAGTCTGGTAGAAGAGGGCACGCCCAAGGATGTACATCGCGAAGGCATCGAAGAAGCCATCACTGCGACTGAGAGCTATCATGATCCGGGAAAGATTGGCGGTTGGTGGATACATGCTCTACAAGCTTGCAATATCAATAGTCAGGAGGATGGCATGAGCTACCATGATACCTAACACTTTCACAGGTCGTCATAGTATAACCGAAACTTCTACTTATTTGGTAATATTATTTGCAGATGTCAACCAATCAAGCAAATGTCCCTGCTTGAATCTCAATGAAAACCTGCGAGCGGCAAGATTGACTCAATTCTAGTGATACATCCCCTGCACTTGGCTTACTGTCCGAATTTTCAGCATATGCATGGAGATGGACCATTTCCCAGGTAGCGATTGGGATGTGGATATCGTGTCTCGACTGTGTTATATACCGCGCAAGGATTTCCCCATTAAGAAAGGAAAGTAGCAACTGGGCCAGGAACGCGATCTGCGTTTGCAAAGTGACCTAAGTAGCCTAAGGAATCGGGATCAAACCGAAGCAGGAAGCTGAACGGCGGCTGCCCCGGCAAGACAAGGCAGTCGGTGATGCAACCTCAAGTGCCCCGTTGTGGGACCGGCCGAGTTCACGGAGAAAAGGAAATCCAATTGGCAGGGCAAATGCCCAGGGGTTGAGGCATTTTATTCCTCCCCGAAAGAGCTAACAAGTCCAGCCAGACACAACGTCAGTCTATCGAGCCCAACCTCGATTGGTTAGCACAAGGGGTATCTCCAAAGCATGCAATGATGTATTGATCCAGCCTCTGCCCCAGCTTAAACGGCGTCTCTGTGCATTAGAACGTTTAAGGCCATCAACCAGTGTGATGCAATCAGCTGAGTCCCCCTCATTGAAGTTTTAGTACACTCCTTGTGGCAGGTAGTGCGGACTCGTTTCCCTTCGCGCACAAATGCTAAAGGACAATCTCGTAGGTCTGCATGCATGTGAGCCTCTACTACATGGGTTGATTCGCAATGGATACAGGACCCGTCTCACATATCCCGTGGATCACTACTAGCCCGGACCAGGTGGGATAGGGTAACGTTAGTGCCTTACACTAATGTATTTTGTCAGGTGGAATCGGATAAAATGTATGTCATTTATGCGTATATAGTTCGTTATGCAGCTAACCTTACTAGACTTTAAGGTGATAGTAGAACGCCCTGATCACCTGTGTACCTGTTCTACCTCTGACGGTCTACAACCTCAATATGGGGGATTTACACGACCCCTATTAGTACAAAATGCTTTCTCCCAACAGTAGCGAGCTACATAAATTCCTAGCCACTCCCATGACTCGCAATAGGATTAGTATAAGCTCCCAGGATCTCACCGTGCACATCATCTAGCAGCGGAATAATCCGCCAAGTGCCAGGGCTAGAGACAATGTACTCCGCCCTGTCCCCGGTCAGGCACTGTGCTTTGGCAGGCGTGACCCTACCTGCTCCTAGGGAGCCGTATAGCCACCCGAGCGGATCAAACGGTGAGATTCCGGCGTCATATACGCTAATCAGAGAGGTGCAAACTTTGTCGGTGCTCTATTACTATCTCACTCCATTGCCTTAAAATGTTGGCTAGCTGAATATAGCAACAGGGAGACAGGGATACCATATCACACAGGCCAAAGCAGTATGCAGGGAGCTCTAAATGGCAATATGGAGCGGCAGGTTCAAAATAGCGCAAGGGGGGCCATTTTCCCGTCCCACATTGTGCATCGTCCAGAGGATGTCGTCAGTGAGAGATACATCTAAGGTTCCACATCATTCTCGGCCGTTAGAGGTTGCCGAGAGTTAGATTTGGCTAGACAGCCTCTCCAGGCTCTCCAGGTCCAAGTCTATAAGTGTCACTCGGTGCTGATATGCGCCATTCGCCAAGGCCTGTGGAGTACCCCTATAGCGAGAGATCATCACTGAGCATCTAATGGCGGCTTGCTGAGTGGGTAGGGAGAAGGAAACCGACGGTTTCTCCTAGGTAATACCAGTGATCAAACTTGGGATCACTTATTGGGTCCCAAGGGCTTGCTAGTCCTTGAATCACTTGCGCGATGTGAGCCTTCAGGAGGTAGGGGACACCCCCTGCCCATTGCTTCTCTCTCTCCCGACCGAAGTGGGTTGATAAGTGGCTAAAGATGAGAGCAGGTTATTGGGCGAAGGTTTCGCAGTGATACAACAAGGTTCCAAGTGGGTATAGGTAAATCGCCACCCAGAACTACACATCAATCTACTTCGGACATTGCAAGGCTACCAGTAACGCTACCAACGACTGCCCTATAGTACGCTCAGATTGGCCACTGGAAAAGACATCCGTGATAGGATATTTCAAATCCCAAGCTCAATGGAGTAGCACCACCCGATCCAGCCTGTCCTTTTCTTAATGGGTCTAGCCTCTATCGACTAGCAGAGGATTTCCTGTCTAGATCAAGCCTGTATAGCCAATGGCCGTCGGAAAGCAGGCATTCTCGGCTGTCCGCGAGTTTCTTTCGCCAATGAGCACGCAACTATCTGAGGACCTTTCAGGATGCGATCCTATTGGAAGTTCTGTTCAATGGCAGGGAACGCAGGAGATCCGCTATGCGGAGGTGCTTCTCCCATCCTCGCATTATCCTCTCCGATGGGTCCTGGTGGAGAACTCTGTCGGTCTGTCAGGATACTGGCTATATAAAGCAATGTGCCGCTTTGTTCACCTGGTGCACCGTTTCTGAAGGTATTGCAAGTAAGCAGCAAACATGGCAGAGTTCAACCGCTCACAGGTCTTGGGATCTGTGTTTGACACCACCAGCAGGTATATAGGTTTGGCCTTTGCACCCTGCCATAAACTCCGGTCTTAACCGTTTGTCTAGGTATATTAACGTACGACCAGTGGGCCTGGGTGCCTTTAGTCTTGTTTGGTACGTCTCCCTTAATATCCCCGTTGCCCCTTTTTCCCCCACCGTTTTGCCCCTTATAAAGATGAAGGCTTAGTGAGGAAAGTAGTTC